CCTTCAGATTTTGCGAAATTTTCGTTTTTGGCCAATAACTCCCAAACCGTTGGATATACGGAAAAATTGTATCAGACCTTTTTTGTAGCTGACGGCGAGAGCTACAATTTCCATTTAAAATTTTTTCTCTAGCGTCAATAGTTTACGAGTAATTTGCAAAAAACTGTTTTTTCGTTTTTCGTCAATAACTCGTAAACTATTAATGCCAGCGAAAACTTTTTATACAGAAATTGTAGATCTCGTCGTCCTCTACAAGAAAGGTCCTATGAAATTTTCCCGTAGGACCAACGGTTTAGGAGTTATTGGCCAAAAACGAAAATTTTCGCCAAAAGTTTGTTGTTTCGACGGTGGGACGGCCGGATTTCGTCAATGTCAATAAAATGCCAATTAATTGCACTTAACTCGTTAAATAGTGAAGTTAGAAGAAAAATTCACAGAATTTTGCTGGTAGAGGACGTCAGTGCCTATAACTTACGTATACAAATTTTTCGCTAGCATCAATAATTGATTAATACATCGGCCGACACTGGAGGATAGAACTCACAGATAAGAGACTACTTGTTCATTCGATGTATTAGTGTTCATATTCATATTCGTTGATCCAGTAAACACGTGGTCTTGTGATTGCTGACAGTTCTACACGTGCTTTTAAGCTACAATAATAATTCGTACGCAATATGACTTCGAACGAAATGGACGTAGACGAAGAGAATGAAACGAAACCGAAAAACTTCCACGAATTTGAATTGGACGACAGGATTTTAAAGGTATAGTGAGCCGAACTAGAGGTTATCTTTTTCGAAATAAAAGTGTCGATCTAAAACTACCTCGTCTTTATAATTAGACATTACATTCTGTTGCACGTCTGATTCTCCGTCCAATGTATTTTTGTATAAAATCAAACATTGTAGGCTATCGCGAAATTAGGTTGGTTCGAGCCTACGTTAATACAAGAAAAAGCTATACCACTGATGCTCGATGGAAAAGATATTTTAATTCGAGCTCGTACAGGATCGGGGAAAACTGCCGCATTTGCTATTCCATTGATTCAAAAAATTTTATCAAACAAAAGAACGCAGAAGACGCAAGAAATTAAAGGGCTCATAATCGCTCCAAGTAAAGAATTATGCAAGCAGATTCATGACGTTATATTAAGTTTAACAATAAAGTGTAGCAGAGAAGTTAGAGCTGTTGATGTCAGTCCACCAGTGGACATTAGTGCACAGAAATTGTTGTTAACAGAGAAGCCTGATATTGTTATTGGAACACCAAGTAAATTACTGCAACATTTAAAAGCAAACAATATGAAACTGAAGAAGTCTCTTGAAACTTTAATAATTGACGAGGCTGATTTGGTAAGTGATTTTAATTAATATACTATCCTTGGATCTAACAAGGATTTTATATTCCAGGTGTTTTCATTTGGATACGAAGATGAAGTGAAAAGTCTATTGAGTTATTTACCAATCGTATATCAGGCTGCTTTAGCGTCTGCAACATTGTCAGAAGATGTGATAACGCTTAAGAAGTTGGTGCTGCATAATGCAGCGATTTTAAAATTAGAAGAGCCTCCGTTAGCTCCTTTATCTCAATTGTCGCATTATAGTCTCGCGGCAGAAGAAAATGATAAAGCTGCTATTTTATATGCCTTGTTGAAATTGAACTTAATCAGGTAAATAAGCAGAACGGAATGTACCTTTAAAAATCTTGGCGTTGTAATAATAGTAAACTTTATTTCCTTTTTTCAGGGGGAAAACTATAATATTTGTAAATACTGTAGATAGGTGTTATAAGCTGAAATTATTTTTGGAACAGTTTGGTATACCTACTTGTGTATTAAATTCTGAGTTACCCGCAGTTTCGCGATGCAGAGCGGTTACTCAATTTAATTCCGGAACGTACGACATTATAATAGCATCGGATGAAAAATCATTGGAAGAAGTAAATATTACATTTTCCAATATCGAAATCTTAAGTAGTGATTATAGTTGAAGGTAAATCTCAAATTTTTATTTCTTATAGCCACATCTAATAAAAGTTAAAAAAGGAAAACGGAAGAAGGATAAGGAATCTGGTGTGGCGCGTGGTATTGATTTCCAGTTCGTATCCAATGTAATTAATTTTGACTTTCCTCTGGACGTGAACTCCTACATTCATAGAGCTGGCCGTACGGCTCGAGGAAAAAATCAGGGAACGGCGTTAAGCTTCGTATCAATAAGAGAAAGACCTCTCCTGGACGAAGTTGATTCAGAATTAAAACACTGTTATAATCGCGATAACTTATTCAAGACGTATCAATTCAAATTAGAAGAAGTCGAAGGTTTCCGGTATGTTAACGAAGGCTTTCTTGTTTATCTTTGCTACTGACATTCTTTGTTTTTAGATATCGAGCAAAAGATGCATGGAAAGCTGTTACCAGAATCGCTGTCCGCGAGGCTCGTTTAAAAGAAATAAAACAGGAGGTGCTTAATTGCGAAAAGTTAAAAAGTTACTTCGAAGACAATCCAAGAGACCTACAGTCATTGAGGCAAGACAAGGCGCTGCACACTGTAAAATTGCAGCCACACTTGAAAGATGTGCCTGAATACATAGTACCACCGACTTTGAAGAGGCTCGTTGGTATCGGTAGAAAAAGGAGGAAATTTAACAGAGAAGCCGCGCAATCAAAACCTACAGCTACGCGATCGAAACATCAAGCACGTGCATCGAACCCACTTATCAGCCTGCAAATACAAAGTTCAAAATAAAAAGGTTCTTGTACCAGAAGTTATAAAATTTCTTTTTAAAACTGTTTATTTTATATTGCTTGTTATAAATAACGTTCAATAAGTTCTTGTATGTTCCACTTGTAGAAAATTGCAGATAAAAAATTACACACTATCCACGTAATTAACGTACAATGTTACAATCGTAATTTATGATTTTTCTGTAACCTGTTTGGGTTTGTACTTTCGTCTAATATCATCATTGTGTCCTTCTCTATTCCTGGCAAGCTCAACAGCGTAAAACTGTATTCTAGTTGTGAGTATACTATTCTCCTCTGAGTAATCTCCTTCGCAATCAGCTCTCAGCAATGTACCAAAACTATAATCTTCCACAACATCTTTGAATTGCTCACAAAAAGGTCTCCATTTAGCCTTTCCTTCGGGTGATTTTAATTCGTCCTCCTTTATCTTATCTACTTTCAGATCAGGAAAAACTTCACGAAATGTCTTATATATAAGTTCATCATGAGGGGTGAGTTTCAAATATTTTGGGTCAACAGAACATAAAATCTAAAATAGAGTTAAAAATTAAAATCTTGACTATTTTACAAAAAATTAATAGCTTTAGAATTTATTTTACATTGAAGTAAACTTCAGCATGCTCCATGGCTTTCATTGCCCACATAGCTTCTACAGAAGGCTAAAAAAAAATACAAAAATTATTGTTCTTATAAAATGACATTGCCTTTTCATCTGCAACTTACATCATTGTCAAATTCATCTGCAGGCCTAGATAATACATTGGTACCAGCTAACAACTGATCTGCAGTCTTAAATTAAGAAGCATATTAATACTTAAGTATAATATTAAAATATCTTATTTCATGTAAAAATAATTTGTGGTAGGTTAAGCTACATCTATAGATACGAAAACAATAAATTATACTAACCACGTTCCCAATACGGGCCATTTTCGCTATTATCCAAAGACGAAACTGATACAAATTGATTATTGAATATTTGTCAGTATAATTTATAGTAGAATTGACTGTTGAAGTAAGACTGTGTAGAGCACATGTCACTCACGCTCACGCAGCTTAAATACACAACAGCCAAAGTGACGGGAAAAAAAACAAAAACCAATCGCTATTTCTGATTCTTGATCAGCTGGCACGTATGCATCTTGGTTTTGTATTCTTGGTGTATTATAAAATATGTTTTAATCGATTGTCTTGTCTAAGAGAAGTTAAATACGATTCGTACAAAAAGCATAATTTTCAGTCGAGATGGTTAGCACGAAAGATAAAGGCATCAATGAGGGAGTATTAAAGTTAATAGACGATATTCATTATAGGTAAGTGAGATTTAAAGCGATCTAACCTTGCAGTAAAATAATTTCTTACAATATTTTTCGATTTAGTAACATTAAAGGTACGTACAATATAGTAGTGGCCACTATATCTGTTCTGAAAGAAATCATAAACAATGAAGAATGGACTACTGCTCAGTAAGAATTACACTTATCTCTACACATTTCCGCAAATGTTTATTGCACTAATTACATCTTCATGCTTTGATAGAAATTTGTTAAGCATAATAACTAGGAATGGAAAGTACTTGGTAGAAGCTATTCCACTTGAATTCTCGATTGGAAATATGGTTCGTAGAATATTACAAATAATTAGAGAAGAATATACTTCTGAATTAAAAAATAAAAATGAGGAGATGGACACGCAAGAATCTTTACACAAAATTCTCACTGCCGAGGGTGATCAGGAAGTAGACTTCAATATCTCTGTGCCTTTTTTAAAATCTGCTCTTATAGAGCACGTCACTGAATTTGAAGTTGAATTAGAAACCTGGTTAGTCTTGGTCTTTAGTAGAGTTTTATAAATACATCCATATTCGTATTACCTTTCAATGATATTTTTTTTAGTGCTGGTAATATTACTCAGCAAGCTTCTGAGCACATCCATTCTAATGAAATTATAATGACAATTGGTAAATCAAAATTAGTAGAAGAATTTTTTAAGAAAGCTGCTGAGACACGGGCTTTTGAAGTTATAGTAGCTGAAGGTGGGCCATCATTGAGTGTATGTATAATAAAAATATTTATTATCACATATGTATTTCTCTTCCACTGATCACAGTGATAAAAATGCATTATTTACAGGGCCATGAAATGGCCATAAATCTTGCGAAAGCAAAGATTAAAACTACGTTAATATCGGATGTAGCTATTTTTGCTATGATGTCACGTGTGAATAAAGTGATAATTGGAACGAATACTGTTATGGCGAACGGTGGATTGAGAGCGATTTCAGGCTCTCACACGGTTGCTCAAGCTGCGAAACATTACTCTGTACCAGTAATGGTTTTATTACCACTATACAAATTATCTCCATTATATTTTTATTCACATGAACAAGATGGGTTTAACAAACACATTTCACCGTTGCAAGGTGTAATTGACAGTGCCAATGCGCCTCTGTTGGAAAGAATTCATGCGTATAATCCAGTTTTCGATTACGTACCACCGGAACTGGTTACTTTATTTATTTCAAACACGTAAGGCTAATATAATTCAAAAGATATCTCATCTTTCATTTATTGTGCAATAATTGAGTGCTATTGGATTTTTATTCCAGGGGTGGAAATGCACCGTCATACGTTTATAGATTGCTTAGTGAATTGTACCATCTAGATGACTACGAATTGTAACAGATAAATGGCATTCTTCTTATTGAGTGGTTCCTTTTATAAACTTGATTTTTAATCAAAAAATGTATTGTTGATATTTAAACATAGATTCTCGAACAGGAATATTTATTTACACATTACAATATATACAAGTAAATATAAATTCATTTTACAAAAAGTATTTTAATAATCTCATAAATGTGAAATTATTAAATGTCATTATAAAGGATAGCTCGCAAAAACACTTACAGTTATTTCATATGTTCAAGAGTTCCTTGTATTAGTGTTAAATGCTATACATAAGGATTCCAATTGCTACCATCCTCAGGTTGTAAAGAACCTATGACTAACAGAATCACATCGAAAATCCACCACACTCCCACACCACCTAACGTTAATAACTTGCCGACAGCAGTGCCAGTTTGTCCCAAACAAAACCGATCCATGCCCAGGAATCCTAACAGTATGCTGTACAATAAAGTCGTAGTAAAATAATGGTCACTGTACTTTATACAAGGAACACCATCACGGGTAAATGTTCTGGGTCCGTAACACTCAATATTCGGGAGTACAGTACATGATACTTTAGTCTTTTCAACGTCTTCGTATCTGGAGCCGCCAAACTAAGGTAAAAAAGTATAAAAATCGATTTATCATACATAATGCATATGTTAGTACATGTAGCATTACCTTTACGCAACCAAATCCAGTTTCTTCTTTGGCAGTTTTGTTACCCTTATGATCGATTGGTTCTTCACATTCGATAAATTCTTTTGGCCTGAGAAACGTGCGTTAAATACGAGAACGGTGCATTATAATGAACTGTCAAATGGTAAAATGTAAATACTCACAGAAATTTGCACATCACTAATGGACCTTTGGGATTGTACACCTGCTGGTGATCTGTGGTATTGTTGCCCGACGAGCTCCCCGTGCATGCTTGCAAATCCCGCGCAAAATGAATTAAAAACAGAACCATGTATCTTAACCTCATCTTGTCAAGTTTGACATGTTTTAAATGCACTTCTGCTACTCGGAGCTCACTCGAGCACGCCGACAAAGTGCATTTTCAATCATGTGTCGTACGTCGTGTATATGTCGATGCAACTGTGTGCGAAAGTGAAAAGAAACCTATTGGATCTGACGCTTCGAGTATCTAACAGAAGGACGCAATCAAAGAACGTTTCAGCCAGCGCCGACCAATGGCGATGAGCTTTCTCTCGCCGTCTTAAGAGACGCGCAGTGATGTAGGAAAGTAGGAATCATTTGGCCGCCTGCATCGATGAAACAATTTCAGTTTTGTCAAGGATCGGAAACTCGTATGATCTCGGCGGAGTGGAAAGTGGACATAGTGGTTGCGTGACGGTAAACAACGTGATCGTGCGTCGCTTATTCGTATTATACTTCCGGAGCAGCACGTTTCGCAGCCGAAAGCCTGCGTATATGTACGGAAATATGCGCGAACGAGAAGAATTTTGTCGAACTTATCCACCGGGACAGGCGATCCAGGCACCGACAACACGAGCTCTGGGCCTTGATGCGCTCCACAGTCTTTGTAAGGAGATTTATCCAGATCAAAGCAACCCGCTCACTGTCACCGCAGTCGTCAAATACTGGTAAGCATTCTATGATCTTACACGAAAAAGATGATATACCCCTCTGCTAACGTTGTTCCAATGTTGGATTTAAATTCTGTGCTTGCTGTTTGTATACGAGTAAACACGAGGAGGAAAAAGTAATAGTATGGTTATTAATTATATTTATTGCATTATATGTTTATTTTCTGTCACCTTAACGTTGCTTTCGTATTATGCGATTTGCAAAATAAAATTGACTCCGAAATAGGACGTAATCGACGTGATTGATTTTTTCGTATTTCGATCACGTCAAAACAATCTGTGAAGTACGTGCAAGCAATATATATTGTGCTTAATACGAAATTTTGATCGTGTATGTAGTAACGCTAACAGTAATGTAAGTACAGTTTATATTAAATAAGTGTGTTACTCAGTTTCTCGATATAAAACCGTGAAGTTTTTTATCAGAAAGGTGGTTTCTATTCAGTTTGAGTATGGTATTTCTGTATAAGAAGGGAGGAAGACTTATATTTAGCCACCCTTAGTTGTACGTGCATTAAACCGGATGTAAAGCCAAATAACTGAGATTTTATGTTCACCTTTTTTTACCTAGGTTGGGTGGTCCGGATCCCCTCGACTATATTAGTATGTACGAAAATCCTGGCTATCCTGAATTAGGTGTACCCCCGCACTGGCATTATATCAGGTAAGTCTCACGCATTTGTTATGTCAAAAACGTTGTACAAACATTTTTTTATAACTTTTAAACTTTTCGTTTATAATTTGAATACGTTCGCGAAATAGTTCTGTTAATGATCTGTCATCGGTTCCTTCCGTCGTGCACGTGATCGCCTGAAATGACATTCTGCGACATATCGTTCATTCAAAAGATAGGTCATGTTTTTTCCGTGACAGGGAAAAGAGGGAAGCGAGCGTTAGAAAAAAAAACGGGAAGTCGGGTATTCATCAGCGTCGTTCTGCTGTGTAGCAGGAGTGTGCCTCTGTTTGATGTAGGCGCATGTTAGTCTTTCGACACACCCGCGATGACACGTGCATACCCGCGACACCCATTTCTGTCATTTCGGAATTTCGTTTATGGTTTTGTTACACTAAAACGAGGCACGGATACTTCGAACACGTTGCATCTGGAATGTCTAATGCATAAAATAAGTGGGTCGGGCTCGGGAATCTTTTGGGATTGCTGTAACAAGTATAAAATGAATTTATTGGAATAAAGCTTGCACATCCGTTTTTATAATGATTTACACCGTCGAAAGACAAATGAATGCCCGTTTCAGGAATTCCTCATTAAAAAGTTAGGCGCCAAATGACGAATGGTCTACCGCGAAAGGGTGTTCATTCTTTTTTTCCTCATTTTCAATGGGTGACCCTTCCTTCTTGAAGCAGCTGTTCCAATAGTAGTTCCCTCTTTTTCTATATATAGAAAGTATAGAGCGTACAGGCAGATAAAGTCGTTTGAAGCGCGACGCGTCGGAAATAGACTCACGGATCTCCCTCTTTCCTGTCTGTCGTATGTAAATACGTTTCACCATTGACTGGATCCATTCCATTTTTTCTGGATCACGTCTACAACTATTTTGGTTCTGCGAGGAATCCTTGAATTATTTTCATTTTCTAAATCTTCTCTCTTTTTTTTATTACAGTTTAGGCTTATCGGATCTACATGGAGACGGAAGAATACATCCAAAAAGTGGCCCTGGCCGCCCAAGCGGCTTCGGATTCGAACTGACCTTCAGATTAGTCAGAGAAAGAAATGAGATGACTCCCCCAACTTGGCCGGCAAATGTAATGCAGCAGTTAGCAAAATACGTTTTCAATTCTGGTAATATGTTGCTGCCCGGCGATCATGTCTCATGGCATGCACCTCTTGACAACGGCAACGGTCGCATTACGCAGATCCTAATGGGCAGGGATCCACAATTACCAACGTCCATATCGACGCCACATGGTGATGTGAGTTCGTTATTCCGTTCTCGGTGAAAAATTGCTTGTCTAATTAAAATCAGAATGTTCAGCGAGCTATCAAATATTTTTAATTTGTACATAATGTTACAGGTTTCATTTGTTCAAATTGTAGGAGTCACGTCTGAAGAATTACAAGCTGCACAACACTGGAACGGCCTTGGCCTTGTAAATTTATTGAAGTCTAGTCGTGGCTGTGGTCCATGGTTAGTGACAAACATGAAAAGAGTCCATTCTGTTATGGAAGACGATCCTTCCATAGCGGAAAAGATTCAAACCGGTATCGAGAAAGAAGGTTCTAATCTAAGTGGCGTATCTGCGAAGTGCTGGTATGTGTTCCATTTCATTTTTGAACGATCAAACTGTTTTGGATAATATGCTTTGAATTGACATAATTTTTACAGGTGGGTTCAAGTGAACAGTGATAGGAGTACAGAAAGATATAGAGAGACGAAGAATGAATCTGATGACGAAGATGAAGACATAAAACCCATTATAAAATCAGAAAGACTGTCCCCGTGCGAACAAGATGAAAATCTGTCTAACGAAAGTTTTATCAGAGTTCTACCAGGCCTTCATTTAACTTTTAATCTTGAAGCTGGATCATTGTTACCATTAGCAATAAAGTAAATACCCTCATATCGCTTCATTTATAATTCATTTTGCGAAGTAATAGCCGACTGTAAAAATATTAATTTACTTTTACAGGGGTCGTGTGATGCACGGAAGGCATTTTACATTTAAATCCATATTGTCTCACACGGCAATAACGATAGTCGCACCTTCGGTCACTGGTACTCTGGTCTCAAGGGAGAAACCATACGTAGTTCAGGGCCCATGGTTACAAGTTCTACTTCCAGAAGATTTATCTGAGAAGATGGCCCAGGAGTTTCAAATTCTGAATTCGTTACATCAGGTAATTAAAATCGTACGAAATAAATTGTTGAGAACAAACGTCTTTTTATATTGAAAATTTTTATTTTAATTATGTTCCAGGTCCAGTTGCCAAAAACATTTTCTTGGCCTGAACATAACCTGTTTATTACAATCGTGAACGACTGAAATCGAAGTTAGAACGCCGACCAAAAAGCGAAGTTAAATCGAGTTAGGATAAATTAACGTAAGCAAAGTATTATCTAATTTTGTTATAAAACGAGCTTCTACGAAATTATTTATAATCGAATTGTGTTTATACGATCGTCGAGCAAACAGAACCATGAGACTTCACGTATCAATATGTAGAAGGCGAGGCAAAGCATAACGATTATATATTGATTTAACGACGAGAAATTAAATATAAAGTATATATATTTTGCTACATAACTGTTTTACATGCCTCTTACTCTTACAAGTTGATACCTGTCAAAGATTAATATTTAATCTTGTACATAATAAAACACGAATTATAATGTGTAATTTTGTATTTGACATACGAGTTTACACATCGTTACTTTACACGGAATATTTTTGTAAATAGATAATTTTGAAATCCTGACATCGGCCGTCAGGATTTTATACCAATTTTTACGAACGGACAAGAGATGTATGATACAACGATAAATATAAGGAATAATATTTATAAGGAAATACATTTTATTTTCTACAGTTTTCTTCGTACAGATTTTATACATTGTCCATGTTAGATGCCTATTTGTCTTCTTTTCAAATCTATCAGACAAACAATGTTATTAAAAATTTGGCATAAAACTAATTTCCCATAGTACATCAACAATAATATTCGTAGCAATCAAATTTTTTAATATATATATATTATTCTTTAAATAATAGAATATATACAATGCCTATTTTTTATTTAACATTTTATATTACGTAAAAACTTCATTCCCCTTTTAAATTTTACCTATTGTTCTTTTTTATTCTAGTCATTTTCCTTGGGATCGGCTCGAAATCGTTTTCCATTACGTCGATTCACCCTTCTCCCTGTCCTCCTCTGACCACAGGGCGAACAAACTTCAAGCCCGAATCTCTCTACTTTATTATTATTTATATCGGAAGCCGCTTCTGGATAAAGGTATGCAGCTATCCGAGAGTTCTGGGAGATACATATGACATTAGAACCATAATGGCAACAATTGATCATGAATCAACAATAGTTTCGTTCCGAGTAACCACGATAACCGACGGTCTTTCAAGATTTTTGCCTATTGATCGAGTAGAATAATCGTTACGTGCAAGAACATTTTAATATGTGTACGCAGTAGTTGATTAATTAATTAGTGCGGTGTGATAAAGTGGATACATGAAGATGGTAGTAGAGGTTCAACTACAGGCGGTCAGCCGGTCTATACAACATCTCCAATCAGGTATGTTTGAACGAAGTAATTACGAAACTATCAATTCAAATAAAACAAGCAATTTTTGCAATAAGCAAAAATCAGATAGTATTAAAATTTCAAATTTCCGTTAATTATAATTGTTTATTGTGTATGAAGACAAGAGTGTAGCGTAGTAATTGTAAATATTGTTTTTATCTGACTTTTTAATTATATTTCTCGTCATACTCTGGTATGAACATTTTTTCATATTTCATCAATCGTTCTGAACGCTTAAAAGCTTTATTATTTTATCGGCTCTTCGTATCAAATCAATTTGCTCCAATCGCATGGAAATTATTGATATCGCATATATTTGTGAAATACGTTATCGCAGTTTTAAAACAGTTTACATTTTTGCTTTTATTAAAATATATTGACGCTAGATTGAAAATTAAATTATAACTGGAGAGCGAAGGTATTTCTACAGAGAAATTTTATTGAATTTGATTAAAATTTGATTGAATTTAGTCTTTGCGTCCCACCCTCGACTTCCGAGAATTTAGGTCACTTCGTTAGCTTTAAATGTTTATTGAGCTAATAACTAATGGATCAATAATTAATGAAATGATACGACGCTGTCTCTACTAAGTGTAGGAAAAAAGTTCCTCTTTAATTCAGTAGAAACTCGTAATTCAGTTTTTCCTCCTTATTTGCCAAATAATAACGAAAGCGTGGAGTAAAATATCTTTGAACGTATTTACTTGGAATAAGTTTTTGACGACCTTAAATACTCCGAACCAAAGTATAACGACGATGCAGGCAGAGGCGAAATCCTCGACCTCTTCGCAGCTGATATTGCTGACAACGTTAACGATCCCCCGAAAGACATTCGCGAACGTTTGCATGGCCTCGAACCAGAGATCCCTTAGGAAGCAGATCACCTGGAAAATCAGGTTCATCACCGCTAGTATCAGCTCGATTATCCTGGCCAAGAAATCGAGAATGATGTCCAATAACTTTTCGATGGTCTCCCATAACCAACAGGCGACTTGTGCAAAGAATTCGACGAACTTTTGCGACGCGTTCGACATACGATTTTTCATGTTTGATTCTAGATACATTCCTCGGGTTCCTTTTCTCGTTTACATAGCTACTATTTGACCCCTCTCGATTTTCCCGACGCGACACGCATCGAACAAATTTCGCGCTCTGCTCTCTCTCGACCCATAACGCGTCGATTCCGAATTTCAATAAATTCAGGAGCCTTCACTCTTGGCTTTTCCTTTGTTTCTCGTGTCTCTCGTGGATATTTTCCAGTGTGGATAAAGTAGGATTAATTAGAACTGGCCTTCATTCCCGCACACTTGTTATGAACTTGACTTTGTTTGAATTATGAAGGAAAATTGCGAAGTTATCTCTGAGTTTTATTTTTTTTTTTTCCCGAGCGTTCTTTCACTGCTGTCCTATTTTTTTAGTGTTGTGGATCGTAAAAAGAGTGTAAAACTCAGGAGATCTCGGGAAATAATTCTTCATACTCAATAGAGATTAACACGAATTTCTGGATTATAAAAATTATAACGAACGTTTATCTTAAAATTCCTTTTATTGAATATTCTATACAATCTATAAATATATATTTCACTATGTTCTCAAGCAATAATTATGTTTGACGAAAAAGTCTACATCATGAGTATCTGTAAAATCGTAATGATTATTTTGATGTAATTATAATTATAATGGCAGTTATTGCTCCTATTTTGCAAACTATCAAGTAGTATCAAATATTGATTCCGTATACGATTCCTTCGTAATGCAGTGTCTCAACGTGTAAATTTCGTTCATAAATTTCGTTTGATTCTAAATTGCTTTTGATTGATCATCCAATAAATACGACAAATCACAAATGAGAATTTTCTCTGTAGGATAATAATAATAATCATTACACATTTTTTGGTCCATCGCTAAATTGGTCAGCTCATTTTTAAATTCGAAGTGGTCCATTATACGAGAGGCAATCATTTTTCTTATATGTACAATAATTTATAATTTCGATTAACGCGTGTTTTCTGTAAGGCGACCTCCTGATATTAATCCGGTAAAGATCGATAACGTTAAAAGCACGAATGATGCAGCTCGTTGTGAAGATCCATTGCAGGCATCTGCATCATTGCACGATTGAACGCAACCGCGTACGTACCTATAAGATTTAAATGAAAATCAAGAAATTCTGCAATTGAATACGAAATTACGCAACCTGAAATAAAATATGAATATTCGTTATATCATTTTTTAGCCCATATAATTTATTTGAAGTACTGAATGTGTCTCGGGTAGCAAAAGTATTGATTAAAATTAACGCGTATAAGCCGCGTTGTTTCATCTTCTGCGACGCCGGGACTCGCGACAATTATGATAAGGGTCAATTTCAGGTAGCGTAACGGTTGCAATTAGTGTCAGGTGCAAAAGCAAGCCAAATTATGTTTCATCGCGTTCGCACTCACTTTTCGTCGAAGTAGAATCCCCCGCAGTGAGACATTCTTATGATTTCGGAGTCGGTTGTTAAAGTTCCGCTGTCCAGCGCGCAACTCCTCACCGTCAATGAGATCCCGGACTCGTCTAATTAATCACACGCTAATTATAAATGTTTTCGTGACTCATTTTCTCTTGCTGCGCCGAAAACTCGTGGAAAGGCTTTGAAATTTTATCTCGCTTCCGGATCGAGGACACTCAAAACTTTATTAAATACACGCGAATATTCTCGACGAATATCGTTCTATTTCGAATCTCTTTTAAATAGGTGGAACGTAAATTAATATTACTTAGGAATTATTCGTTTTGCAATTAAATTTTTTAATGTTATTTCGAATTAAGCTAATAATTATTTCCAACGATGAACTGACTTTCCACCCGGTGAAACCTCCGTCAACAAGCCAGTACTGTAGTCGGAGGCACAGTTTATTCGTTGAATAGACAACAACGAACGGGGTTAAGAGCCACTCGCTATTACAAAAGGAGGAAAGTTTTACCATATATCCCCGCTATTTTGATGCACGCTGTCGCGGGGAAAAGACCATCGCGCCCTTTACGACCACCCAAACAGGGTGACTCCAAAAAGGCAAGACTTCCGTTGTTGTGAAACGGGTCGTCGCATGGTTTATTGTCGCCGTCGATCGAAACGCACTTGAAACAATCGATAGCCCAGCCTAACGCGATAAAATCAAATTGAAAAACAAAGTATTAATAAAGAATCGAGACTAAAATGAATACTAAGCGCGTTACATTTATATTCTAATCGCATGCATATTCTGTTTCTTCAATTCTTACATTGAGTAACTCATTGATTTTTCATTTCTGGTTATTCACCTCGAGAGATTACACTTATTTTATTCGTGCAATGTTTCAAAATTATATAAAACTGACGTGCAAATTAATATAGAACACATAATTGGTCTTCGAAGCAGAATTATCACAATCGTTAGGTTTCTAAATCTGTCCATGCTGTTGTATGAAAATTATTGTATGTTCTTCGTTTAAAACTGACCTTTGGAAACCACGAGCGCGATCAAGCCGAAAGAGACGATCCAGGTGAACCTAGTATCCATCTTTGCTTGAGCGTAGAGCGCGTTGCCGCGGATGAACGATCGCTTGGTCGCCGTCAGCTGCTGAATGCCTGAGGCCCGGAGCCGAGCTCCTCCAGTACTGTCATGTCAGACAGAAGAAAAAAAGACCGATGTCGACTGCAGAGATCAACGTCTTCCTAGATGTGATTCGAATCGGACCGAAAAATCTATCTAGGGAAAGGGTAGAATTCGCGTTCCTGGACTACGTATCGAGTTCACGCCTGAGTGACGCAGTGTTTTGTCGGCCGGTTACCAAGGCGATGATTCCTCGTAGTTTTCGACTTCCTTGCTCGTCCGATCGACGGCCTCTCTTAGTGGCTCGTCTCGACGTGGTCGGAGACCCACGTCGAGAGGTTCGCGCTCGTTTTTTCTATCGCAGAGTCCCTTCGGCGACTGAGCTGACCTAGCTGAGACGCGGCTGGGAACTCCATAGGCTAGAACAAATAGTAATTGGTTGTCTCGCGACGAACGATGAAATGCGAGCACGCAAACTGTGGGTGCAGTTGAGGTGACTTCTAGGTGCGTGGATATTTAGATCGCAGTCCCGTGTACGTCTAGGTGAACCATGTGGTGCGTGTCCGTTTGTTGTGGAGTTCGAGTGTTGCATTTTATTAATAGAATCCTTATTGTGTTTCGCTTATCATCACTGATAAAGAATGGCTGATTCAGGAGCATAGATAGCAGGATAATAATTGAAACAAAGTAATGTGATTTTGCTTATATATTTAATTACAAAAGAAAATACAATCTCGAGGCACACCTGACTATAAAAAGATAAGAAGATTCGCGAAGTAGTGATGACTAAACGTAATTTAATGAAAGTCTAATAAGTGTATCAGAGTTAATCAATAGTAGCGAATATAGGATACCTCGGTCATGCAACAGTCAGATTATTAAATGAAGCAATTTATACATGCTGATGTTAGGTAATCGCATGCAAGGCGTCTCCCCGTTAGAAACTCCATTACTTCAATAGCTTCGATAAATTTTACTAATTACGTTTAAAATATACATACAAAAATTGATACAAAATTTGCTTGGCAAATCGATTTTTTACACAAGTAGTAAGTCGAACTACACTTTCGGTTTTTTTAAACAAGGAAGAAATCGAAGTCCGCGAACTAGCCGTGACACTGCGAGAGAATCGCCGTTAGTTTCGTTAAAACTCGTCGCATTACCGCGTTAATTATGCACGACGCGGTAGTTAGCCGCAGCGGTGTGCCGCAGATGTTTCCGACGGCGAATTATCCGGTACCGTGGACTCGCGACGATAGCAGAGTAGGTTTTAAAATTACGCGGGTCGCGCGTGCGCACGGGCTCGCGGGCCAATCACCTCGTCGCTCCAGAGCGGCCCGTCCGTCTCTGTCGTAGCGACACTGCGGGTACGCGATGTGATAGTATTTTTCGAAAAATGTGTCGGTCTTTCGCGCACTCATGCATCCGGTTTTTCACTTGAGCCCGCCGCGATCACCGAGTGCTTTGTCCCGTGCTTGCCATCGCCGTGGGCGTGAGAATAATGGGCCAGTCGTCGAGCAACACCGGACACAGCGGTGAGTGTCGATTTTACATCCGTATTCGTAATTGTGTGCCGTCGGCCGCCCCGACGTTTTTTCGAGTCGCACTGCACGCTTGACATGTGTCAACTGCGAGGGCTCTTGACTTTGCTGCCAGCTCCTGCGCAAGTTTCGTTGACTTTTTCCGTGGCATTGCGTCGTCCGCAACGAGAACCTTCTCGACCTGCTCGCGTTTTCACGGAAACAACGGTAGTTACTCCCGGAATCGGTCGATCACGCCGAGTTTGAGGTTATGCCAGTGGTCACGTCGATGTAACCGTGATCGTCGAATCGTTTCCCGATCCGTTTAACGTGTCATCGAGATACGCGGCTCTCCTATACTTCGTCCGCCTCCCTTTGTCAATCAATCTCGTGCATCATCAATTGTAGATTTAACCAGCGCAATGCTGATATCTGCGCAAAACGATCGTTATCGTCGTGGCGTTCCTTTCAAATTCAGCTGATTTCCGGCCAAAAGTTTGTCCGACCTCTTATCACTGTGCGAATCCCGAAATTGTACACGTCCACGTCGTCGATTACGGATATTGGTTTGTTGAACCGTTCAAATCGTTCTACTTACAGTCAATTATCGGATATTTTACGCAAATTTCTACAGAAATCGAGTCACCCGAATGTGCATAAAAAACCAAGCGATTAGCTAAAAGCTTGTTGATAATTTACTACAAGTCATTAATGTATTTCAAAGTTAAGTATGCCTTACAGAATAGTAATATACATACGTAAACAATACTAACTGTAGATTAATAGCAGAAGGTCTGTTATGTAATAACGCAATCGTTGATTGACTGTTCTAGTCATACTTTTCATTTAATCACAGCTAATTATGTAATTGCAAATATGCTTTCAAGGTTTCCATGATTGAACAGATCGCTGCGATTTATGTAGCATCAATTTTAAATTCGAGTATGGTTTTCTTTCTTATCAACGTCATTAGCAGACTGGACGATGGCGACATCTGTTACGAAACAGCATTCGTACCTTACAGATGATCACGAAACTTTAATTAAACTGCATTATTACGAAATGTTAGGACAAATTATTTGATTAAATAATTGAGTTTACGTTTGTATTCTACCCGGACTCCATGTATGTTTATTGAATTCTTTAAATGCAACGTTTAAACATGAAAGTAATTATCGCAGTGGAATATACATGATTCTTTAAATCAATAATTAGGTAATTGAGAAAAACTCTCGTTTATTCATCACTGGCTATTATTTGCCGGAGTGTAAATTATACAAATAATTATATTAAAGTCGAAAATATTATCCGTTGGGAAGCGAAGCGTCGTTGTCCAATTATTCTGAAGTTCGTAATAATATAAGCAAACGGAGAAATAAAAATGAACTTAATTTCCTCGGCAAGGAGAATAAAAGAAAAATGTATACAGAAGGAGAAAAAGTGTTGGAGCAGAAATTTACTTTGGTAAAAGCCGGCGGTCTAAAGGGAAATTATGAAAACCCTTAAAACTGGCCGTGTTCTGTGAATCATCCTTGCAAACAGATCTGCGACCGTGTTAATTAATCGCGAGACAAGACGTTTTCCTTTCTGTAGCTACAAATATTTTGCCAGCTGCGTTCCTCCAGCGGCATACACAGGAACACCTTTCGATTTCATTTCGTACGGTCTTCGGGCTTGCAAGATGGTACGTGGTAGAGTCTCGGCGGCGCAGGTACGCGTGTACCTTAACGTGGGCCACAGATGTTATTGTCATATGGCAGACACACGGCTCGGGATTCGTAGCCGTAAAACCGCGACTGCACCACCACAGAAATCCTGCAGCAGTAGCCCACACGCTGCTATGCTATTATCTAATTGGCGTCACGCAAACGTAATTACAGACCGATTGTCGATTAGCAAACGGGGATAGCTGTCTCGCATTAATGAGTTAACTATCTGAAGAGGTTCTAGGTTCTAAATAAGATTAGGCAGATGTCGATATCCTTGAAATCAGCACGATTGCTGAGACGAGAGGAAAGTGAAAGAATGCAGGAGGTCGAAAGAACCTCGGTCACCTCTTTAGCATAATCAATACTACGTTTGCGTGGCGGCTGACTAATTACCAACGGGGACAATGACGTTGGACGGGGTCATAGGTAAGACTTCCGGGGTGCGGCGAAGGAAAGCTCGTAGACGATGCAGCGGCCGCGGTGTTCAGGGCAGCGACCCAGTTCTCATATGTATTTATACCAGAAGACGCTATGCCGGGTGTGTGTGGCCATTTTGGAATTGGTGAGAAGGGAAGGAGACCGGGTGGACATGCCGAAGGGAGACGGGAAGAAAAGAGAACCGTCTCGTGACGCACGAGCCGCGTCGCAGGGGCTAATGAATCTGGAAATTCCGAGGAAAACCGAAGTGACCCAGGAAACTGGTACCGAAGCGTCTGTACAAAGTAACCCAGTCGCTTTTCGATTATTTATAGAAGTATGAGAAAATACTCCTTCGTTTTCTTCGGGATCCCATCTCGTAGTAAATACCGAATAAACTGATTAACAACGTAATTGAACGGGAACGAAATTAAACCAATGGAAAGAAGTTCGTTTCCGTAATTAAAAAATTTATTGCCATGCATTCACCAAGTTTTATGTAAACGTCTGTACTTTCCTTCTGTTGTTTATGCAATCTCATAAGCCGTTATCAAGATATCGCGTAACGGCGGTCTGTGCGAAATTTTTCACATTTTCTCGAGCGGACAGTTACGAAAGTTTGAGAACTTCCCGAGCGAAATTAAATGCAAACTGAAGCTTGGCAAAGTTGATTATTAACTGCGAAGGAGAAGTTTTACAGATGCTCGACGGACCGTAAAGTTAAGAGAACGAAGTACAGGAGAAGTTCAGTTCACGGAAATTCTTGACCGATGAAATACGTGTATCTACCCGTCGAAAGTTTCGTTGTCCTCGTTGAAAATTAAATGATAGCATCAATTTTTCAATCGCAGATGTCGACTCGCTTACAACATTTTGAAACTTCGGGGTAAAATAATTCACGACTTCTATTTAAGATTTATTGAATTCCTACGCGACGCAAAGTTCCAAACAATCCATAATTTCCGGACTGCCGAAATCCCTTCGTGACTGGCGACATTCTCGTCTCGAGGCTCGACCGGCTTGCACGATCTCTAGCGGACCGCGTTATTCCGCTCGATCGCCGAGTTTCCCAGATTCACGACGGTGTTTTCGTTCGTGTCGTACACCGCGTCGGACGATTTCCTGCCGAGAGAAAGACGATCTATGAATCTCAGCTGCGAGCGATACTCCCACGCGTTTCGTCCCAGCTGATCTCTGGCCGGGAGTTCCGACGTCGCACAATGAGACGTCTTTAAAGCACGCCGTCTTTGTGAAAAACGCCCTGGCTTGCGCTTTAAAGCCAGAGTTGCGTCTGAGGAAAAAAGGAAAAGCGTATTCGTTGTGCAAGAGTCACCTGAGCGATTCGCTTTGTCAACGAGACGAAGGGCACGATCAGGTAGCACCGTGGACCCTGCAAAATCGAAAATCTGGAAACCACGACTGAGACTCGTATAAACAGAAATAGGATGGGTAAAGCGTTTGGAAAATTCGTCTCAGGTTTCTAACAGAGAACAGATTTTCTAGGTATCTAAATTTCTTTTACGTATAATAATTTAATAAGATCAAACTGTGTTCGAAGTTCAGTAGCTGTGAACTCTTGCGTGTACGAATAGCGGATTGCACAATCACTTAATGATCTTACTCTTCCGGTGATTTCTTGGCCGGAAGCGGTTTAAATTGATTCAGCGATCGTAAATAAATAAATCTAGCAGCAGATCGTGAATGGCACAAGTCGGACCTAGAATCTCGACTTATTTTTGGTGTTTGCGTGCGTACGATCCTCGATTTCGAATGGCGTTTAACCGAAACGATCCATCAACAAACCTCTTATATGCTTGAATCACGTGAAACACAGACTGTTCCGAACGACCGATCGCGAAGAATAGCATGCATTTTGATTCTTCCATGCAGGAACATAAAACTGTTCAGTTTACGGGTCGTGCGTCTCATTCATTTTATTTTATTACACTGCATTTTATCTCACGCGAATTTGTTACTGTTTGTAGCATTTAAGAGGAAAGATATACTTGCTTCTTTATTTTTTACGATTATTACTCGGAATCAATTCATGTGGTGTATCGTTTCTTTGTTTTCTACATTATTATCGGTCTTGCCGTGAGTTTGCAAAACGTCGGATTATCATATTTAAATATTCTGCTTTCATTCAATCTTACAATGTTTGATCGTCATATTCATTGAAGTTAAACATCAATGTATTGCCATAAGAAAGACCAATATCTCGTCTAAAAATATCTACAGCTTTAAGACACGTATGCACGTGAGCTGGCAATTCGTGTAGGGGAGCGATCACGTGTCTGGGCGACGTGTGTTTCAACTACGGATATGCCAACACCGAGTATTTCCGTGTTCATGGGCCATCGTCCTCACAGCCCTCTGCCACTTCCGTTCTTCTTCAAAAACAAGCGTCAACATCCTCTGATACCGCGTGTAACGCCAAGTCAAGTTAACAGAGGCTACGTACGAAACGGGCAGATGAGAAAAAGGTGGAACGGGAAATTACATGTGTGAAAAATTAGCTGAAGTAGAGAAAAGAATTTTGATAACTCCATAGGCGTCTCGTGCTGGTGGGTGCACGGAAGACGGGCTTGTAGTCTCGATAACGTCTGTTAATTCAGTCCTGGCCACCGGCTATTCCCAGTGCAGAACGTTGCA